CACCAGTAGGGCCAGGGGAGCTGTGGAGGGGACGTTTAATTTTAATCATGGATTTTGGAGGTTTTATCAGAGAAATTACTAGGACCCCTGCAGATCACAGACAAACACAGGCCTAGGGGTGGCCATCAGCCCAATCGGCAGAAGAAAACAGGATCTGGTAGCCCCTGGCAATACCACTGAATACAACAGACAATCATTGTAGAGAAGCCAGCATACCCAGCTTCACAAAAGCAGCTATTCTGCTACAGTCTCTACACTGCAACCAGCCCTTCAGTGATAGGGGCCCAGGGTAGAGAACAAGGAGTGTGTTCTGGAGCAGGGAGGGAGGTTGCTGAAGCCAACAAGTGATAAACATTTTAATGAAGCTGGCAGGGTCCTGTCCCCCCCCCTTCCCTGCCCACACAGTCTAGTCATGACATAGCACCAGGGAGATTTGCAGAGCTCACAGCTCTGGATCCATATTACTTTCAGATCTTATATGTGCATTGGATGAAAACCTAGCAAGGTTTTCTCCCTGACTGCCCTTCCCCCACCCATCCTCCAGAGAGGAACAGAAACACATTCTAGGCCATTGGCAAAGGAGCTAAAAGCCACACATGGGAAAACAGGAAGCTGGTATCTGATTCGAAGGCTTAGGCATTTCATTCCTGACGTCTGTCCAGAGCAGAGCAGCTCTGTGCCCCCAGACATCTTTGCCATGAGGATGCTTCTCTTGGAGCCAATACATCACGGCAGTGCTGTTCGTACAAAGAACAATTATGGGATTTCAGCTTTATGCACATAACAGATTTCCACCCCCAAAAAACCTCTCTTTCCTGGTATTTCTATGACCTCAAGTTACAAGCCAACACTTCTGCTACATGCACAAGACACAGCAGTAAACAATCTGAACAGAAGGCTCACCAAGGTCAATCATTTGCTTCCCTACTGCGTATTCTGCTCATTAATCAGTAAAGCTAACAAAGTCGATCATTTATAATAGATGACAATAAACCTGGGTTCTCATTAAGCTCTAACGTACGACCGTTTTCTGGGGAAGAAAGGTAAAAAGCAGTCAATTTTATATGGGTGTGTATAAAGCAAAGGGCTCTCTGCATCCCTACAGGAAGGCAGGGGCACGACCAGATGCCACCTGAGCTTTAAAATGAGAACGTTCTTTCTGTTTATGAGGATCTTTCAGGCTAAGTGCATGGTTGTGTTCTTCACTGGTGTGCAAGCAATGCTGAAAGCTCCGCAGATATCAAGAGTAAACACAGCTCCACTGGCAACTGTTTTGACTGCAAGGGGCTAGGTAAGAGAAATGACCTGTGATATGATTGAATCTTCCTGAATCAGTTGTGGGTGCAAATCATAAGCACTCTCCTGAACTTAGGGTTGCAATCCAAATCCAAATGTAAACCAGTTCTTTTCAAACGGGAGAGAGTGTCTGCAGTAGAGCATCACAGGGCTAGACTTGAGCTGCTAACTTATACTGAGGCTTTTCATTTGGGATCATGTTTAGCAATAAGTCCCAAAGCATCTGTAGAGCAATGCAGATGTAAACTGGTGTTATGAGACATTCATGAGCAGAAATCAGGTTTTAAATAGCTTTTTCCCCAAAACACCTATGTTCTCCATATCTGTGTTACTCCCTGCAAATCACTGGGAGTTTGTCCTGCGGGAGAAGATGCAATTCTCAGGAAAACCAAGAGACAGTTTTTCAAAGAGTGATTTCGGCTGCCTGACTAGGAACATTAAGTCTCTCCAGAGGTAATCAGCACTCACTGCCTTCTTTGGTTTCACTTGGAACAGAGACGCTCAATATTCCTGAAAAATCAGCAAACCCAAGCCACTGGAATTTGTGGCTATCAGCCACTTTCCAAAACATTTGGCCCTATTTACTATGAACTTGGGACAGCTTGGGCCACAGACTCATTAGCTTTGAAGTAGAATGTGTACTCTCTAACCTGACTGAGCAACATGCAGGAGGGACCAGAAACATCAAATATAAACAAACATCAACAAGAACAAATACTGAGAGTTTAGAAGTCTACCTGCAGATTTAGTTAGGCGAGTGCCCCCTACCCCCAGCTCAACCAATCATGAACAGAGAAATGATTTAAAATGACAAGCCTTATTTTAAAAAGTCCCGAGTCAATCACTTACGGAAACTACTCCTCCGCGGTTTTTAAGCACGACTGCACACAGAACTGTTAACAGTCACCTCGCATGTCATGTCGTGCCTTTGTCAATGATGCCGTCAGATTTCATTGCATGAGGAAGCAATTTATTTCAAAGGACAGAATTTCTCAGCAGCTGCAGCTTCAGAAAAAGAAACATTTACAAAACAGGCAGGGCAACTTTCAGAACATTCACTGCACACACGCTGCTTTCTCTCAACACTGCAAAATGGTCCTCAGGGGACAGACCTGTCTCTAATCACTTCTAAAGCACAGGGCACTCCTTAGGCACTGGAGCAATATCATCACCTGTCTAAATCAATGCCACCGCTGCAGCAGATGGTGTTTCCTCTCCCTTCTTATATCCTTACCCTGCTTGCTCTCTTTTTTGAGCAGCTTTCTTACTGCAGTTTTACCAAATATCCAAGCACAGTCAGTTCTGTATTTTGTTTCACTGCAACAAAGTTTTGGGATATATCTTTGCTGTTTGCTTCCACAATAACAAACAAAAAAATAAATAAAGTTGCACAGTGAATCCCTAATAAATTACATGTAGCAATGATGAATTCAGCACAGGGTACAAAGCACCTGTAGAAGTGGCCTGCACCTCACCCTTCACTTTCTTCAAATTCTTCTACTCACTTTATTCTACATCCTGTTCTAGCTACACATGATATCAGTGCCCCCCTCTATTGAGGATTACTTGGGTTATTTTAGAGAAGGAAGGCAGGCAAGCATGCAGGCAGGCTTTATTATTATTAGAAAGATCAAGGAGCAGCTCAAACCCATGGCTCACATGTCTCAATCCCATGTACTGCAGGGCAAGCAGTTGGCACTGCACTGCAAATTCCCAGCAATGCCCACCTGTGATCTAAGTTGTAGGGCATTATGTTGTCTAGGAGCACACCAACAACTCCGCGCCTATGCAGAATTCTAGAGCATGCAATCTGGAAGCCTGGTTGGGCTGTGGCAGATGCATGAATGGGGATGATCTGCCTAAAGTCACTAACAAAAAACAAATGGAAAAGATCACAATTTGTTTTAGAGGGAGCAGACGGGGAGCAGGGTCAAGAAGAAAGAGGCAGTGCTTAACCCATTAGCACCTGGGACTGAGAAAATGATGGGACACCAAGACAGGAGTCCCAAATAAAAATCCCCAGAAATTTGTGCAACCCATGAGATTGAACCACACCTGAACTACCTTGGAAACATCTAGAATGGCCTGCATTATAGGCACAGAATACACGGCCGATACAGATTTTGCTTCCAAATGCAAAAGTAGAGCCTGAAGACTCAGACTTAAAACAGTGGTAACTCAGACACGTTCCTACCTTGTCAGATATTTACTTCAATCAGACCAATTTCAAAACCAGTAACAGTCAGCCAAAGAACAGAAAGCCAATGAAACACAACAGCAAAATATTCTTTAAAATACCAGCTAGTTATGGACTTCAGCACACAAAATTATTACTACTGTCCTTATAGGCATGAATTCTCTCTCATCTTGCTGCCAACTTCAGAAGAAAGCTGACTAAATAACAAGAAACCCATTAACTCACATTTAACTAACCTTTATTGCCACTAAAGCTGTAGAACGTGGTTAGCAATGAAATCTGAGGCAAGCTGACAGTATACTTACTGTACAAGGCTCCAGCTCTACAAGACTCCCTGCTGGCAACCAGGGAAGCTTGAAACTAAAGTGTGTCATTTTAAAATTTAGTCTCTAATTCAGACTCCCCCTGAAAAATAAAATCAGAGAGGGTGAGAGAGAAATCATGATTGAGAATTCAGGCAGTACCAGGAGTGTGTAAGTGACCAAGTGAGAACTTTGCTTGGCTCAGAGACTGGGATCAGAAAAGCTACCAGCAGCCAGTTGATGATTGAATTGCAAAGCTATTCCCAACCTTAGCATTTCAGAGCCAACAGTAATACCTGAAAAGGAAATGAGGTGTCTTTACTTCCATGGGTGTAATCTGGATTTGCAGGAAGTATCCAGCTTCCTCGTCGGGGGCGGGGGGAGGGGGGTGGAAAACAGCTGGGCAGCTCTAAAAGTGCGCACTAATGGAGCCTTCCTCCCCACAGAAGCTGCTTGAAAGCTTTTGCCCCCACGCTTTGCAGTAGGCAGGCTGGGTATTTAGGAAGCAAGAAGAAGGTAAGAAGAGAAAAAGTGGGGGGAGGGGTGATCACTTCAGCCCCGTCTCTCTGACCTACCCACCCCAGGGAAGACTCGCCCAGAAAACAGAGGATTTCAGCCGTGCTCCATGACACAAACAGGCCGGAAACGGCAAACGCAAACAAACAAGCAACCCACACGCAGACCCGGACCACGCGGCAGCCAGGGCCCGGCTCGGGTTTCACGGCGGCTCCCTCGCAGCGCTCGCCGCCAACGCGGAGACAGCAGCCCCTGGGCTGCGGGCGGGCACGTGAGTGCGCACGGGGTGGGGGCCGTGGCAGCCTGACATCCCGGCGAGTAGCATCCACCCCCATAACCGAGCGTACCCCGCTCCCTTCCAGGAAGGGCAGCACCCCGGGCACGCACGAGTAACCCCTTCCTCCACCAAGCGCGCTCTCGCCACACGCTGCCCCTGCGGCCGCAGGCAGCAGCTCCGCAGCATCGTCCTCGCCCTGCGGAGCCGGGGAGCGGGCGGCCCGCAACTGCCCGCGGAGCCCCACGGCCTGCCCGGACCGACCAGCACCGCCGCCGC